AAACCAACATTTTCCATGATTTGTCGATGGGAAATCATGGAAAATATTGGTAAAACCAACAATTTCCATCGATTCCCTTTGGTGTTCATGCGCCTGAGGTACAAGAGCCGACCTAGGTACCGGGGGGGGGGTACCATTTATATTTATGCGTGTGTGTGTGTACACACATACACCCATGGCCTGCCCATGCTTACCCATGCAAACGCATGCCCGATGCTGGAGACCTGGCACCACCAGTGTCATGGAATGCATGGAGACCTGGCCAACGAGTGTGTTTTTGTGTAACAGGCTGTGAAGAATGTCTTAGCTCAGTTCCTACCACGTCTTCTCATGCTATATGGAGATTTGTTCGTTTTACCACTGCTTCGTCCTGCCACTATCGTATCACTACGCGGAACGCTCATGTGGACGATTATGTACGCACACACAACTTGCAAGAATTACCTCAATTCGGCATTGAAGAAATTTGAAATGAATGGGCGGCGCATGTGAAGTCCTCGTAGTCACACTTCTCGCATGCAGCTCGCATGTCATTTCAATTGTAGATACACGCACAAAGCGAAATCGCTGTGTCTTGCGTCGCGGCTGACAGGTGACTGAGTCCGTGAGAGAGAGAGAGAGAGGCTGTGAAGAATATAAATCTTCCGAGCTTTTTACCAGGAGATCAAGTCGGTGTACCGCATGGGCAACACCTATTCTCCGGGCCCAAACGCTGATCCGGACTTGTGGTGACTCTGAGGGCGGCCATGCGGCAGTGTTTGAAATTGCTTAGATCGGTTTCATCGGAACCCTCCTCAGACAGGGGGCACGCATGAACTCGGGCTGTAGCCACTGTAGCCACGCAGCTCCTCCACATCGTTTTCGCCGACCTTTTTAACCTCCGTGAGCTGCCACCTTGTGCCATTGGCAAGATGGCTGCAAGCTGGAGTTGCATGCGTTCCTCGATAGACAGTACTTGCAGCTGTTTGTGCCCGGCCTCGCGACACCTGCCGTGTGCAGTCATGCGGCCCCGCAAGAAGGCAAACATGCTTGGGACCCTGACGACGTCAAGCCTCGAGTGCCTACTGTAGGGTTCGAAACTACCGCAGTAGAGTTGCATTGCTTCTTCGATGCAACTACAACTGACATGCCAGCGGAAATCGTGATTCACAGGCACGAAAGCAGAGAACGACGTCCTGTGTTGACCAGAATGAAATCCTCCTTGCCGCGATAAAGATGGTCCGATCAACCCATCGATACATAGGCCCGACTCGTGACTGCACGCCAAGGTGTTTTTCCCGACATCGCTTGCATCTCTCAGCCAAGGCGTAGTACCTGGTAGAAAGAAACGGCGCTTGTCAAAAGAATCTCAGCGCAGTGTACTGAGCTTGTACTATCGTAAAGTAGTGTGCTGTAGCATTGACATGTAGTAATGTAGTATTGACAGTCACATGCAGTGACTTGTGCTGCCATTTCAAGTGGTGAAATGAAGTGAACTTCTTAATGCGAGTTAACGAAGAGATGCAGTAGTAGCGAGCACTGCCGGATGTAGATTGTATGATGACTTTCGGCAACATGTTCGGAGATGCGAGCAGGCTGTGCGCATTCAGCCATGACGATCCGGATGGCCCCGAAGTGTGGGCGTGTACAGTGTACAGCGTCCGGGAAAGAAACAAGCCTGTCTGTCATTGAGATGCATGTGTTTCTGTTCTCGCTGATATACTTACCTATTGTGTACCTGTGTACGTGCATATACAAATAGTTATATATCATATATAGATGAAACTATATCGCCAAGCACCGTGCTGCCCATTCACCCCGAGTTGATTCTTCATCTGCCCCAGGGACAGCATGAAACACCCGTAGCCGTCCCGAAGCGATAGAATTGATCCAACACATGCGGCTTACAAGCTGACTGTGCGGTGTTGAGGTGGCCAGAGTGCCGCCCGAGCCACCATAGGCTCATAGGCAAAGCAAGTCGCAGCGACAGCTTCCGAGGCGTGGTCTCATGATCTTCAGGAAGAAGTTCCGCCGGGTCTTCTATGTTCCGGGAAACCATGCCCCCGGGCAGCAGGGAATCGTTGATAAAAGGATTCAGTTTTCGTTTAATGGAGGATTGAGGCCGAAAACTTAATCATCTTAATCTGCAGCAAAGAAATTGAAAACATGAACTTTCGTAAGTTTCTTGCGAGTCCCGGCCGCACGGTCTTCCTGCTTGGGTTGGCAGAATAACTTGTTTGTCGCCAATGACCGTGCTGATTCACTGTTACGAGTAATCACTCATAGCAAGATATCAGCATCTAGCGTATCACAGTTTTGACCACGACCAAGCAGACGTAGCAAAGGCATTCATGCGGTGACCATGTGTACTGAGTAATGGCAGTCGTCGTCCCGTTCGTAATAGTCGTATTCGTATCAGGTGCAGGTATGAATATCGCCTGTTCAGCTCGTTAGGTCGGACCTGCCGGGTGTCTAGATATTCGGGTTGGAGGTGGTGGCAGCTTCTTGAACATAGAGTATTGGCTTCGGACAGCGCTTCCCGCGCCCTTTGAGGACATGTGGATTCGGCCCAACACAGACGACTCCAAGAAAAAGAAGTTCAAGGATCCAGACGTGACAGATGTTTGCCGTGATTTCTGGTTTGGGGCCGCAATAGCTCGTCAGCCTTTACGAACCTAAGTACTAAGAGTAAAGGCTGGACGATGACGTTGCACGGTCGAGCCATACTGCTTCGCGGATCCGTTGCCCTTGCTCGAGACATGTCTTGAGCACTCAAGGACTTGTACTGCCTGTGTGTTTGGTCAGCACATCAGCCATCCTGAGACCCCATTTTTCTAGCATCAGTTACATGCCTCGGCACGGCACCGTCAGGAGTCACTGGCACTAGCATTTCGAAGCGACTGTTGTCGCTACTGTTTGCTTCGATCGGCGTTGAGCGCATGTCTACGTCTAGTAGTTGAGAACAAAGGTGGTCTTGGTGCTAATTGATAACAATTGCCTTTCTGTCCTGACATAAGCTCAGGGTTGAGAGGCATTCGGTCTAGAGCAATGGTTCAACAAATGCTTGTTTGCAGGACTCCATCGACAAGCTTTTGGCCATGCTCGAGATGTGCCACCCGACATCATGTGTGGTCCACTCTACTTTGGAAAGGCTGGTGTAGGATGTGCCTGGCAAATGGGGGCATGCTGTCGGGTCTCGGCAGATGCTGCAGAGTCTAGCAAAGGAAGCATTCATGCCAAAGCTGGTTGGGGCCTGTTTGGATGACATGATGGCGACAATCGTTTACCAATGCCTCCCAAAGAAAGTCTGTACCGTCCCAGCATTTTTCGGCAAACACGATACCTGATATGCAAGCGGTGAACTCCCATGTTCAAGCTTCGGCTACGCAAACCGGCGGTCTCACCGAGGCGACAAAATCGGAGCCGAAATGCTGCCTGCTGAGGTCGCTGCCTCAGTCTTTGCATGTCTCTTCCTGTCTGCCAGGCTTGAATGCTTTCCTATGCTTTCCTCCGTCCACTCGCTTGATTTTATTACCACGCGTATCCTAATCTGAACTCGTGAGTGGACGGACCTGTCTGTTTGGGGGGGTCGGCTCCATGCTTCGAACGCCACGTGCTGATCAGTATGACATAGTGCAGGTCATGCAGGACGTGTACGTCGCCTTGAGCTCAGCGTTGCTCCCATGACCTGCGCATCTCTTCTAATATCTGCCGCTCCGAGCGCGATCTCTCTGCTGATCGAATCTGGGCACGTACGCTCGGGACGTTTGAGTCGCAAAACCGACATCAGCTGCCCCCGTCCGCCTACATTCAGGCGGCGTGTCAGATTGGGCATGCACATCAGCTCTTACGTTTGCTTCGAGCTCTTGTGTTGATGGATTCAATCAACCCCGCCAAGGTTCCTCTATTGTCCTGGTGGAGCTGCACGTTCGCCCCTCACATCCCTTTTGCACCCGTGGATGTTTCAGGGTGTTGTTCGAGTTCCTGCTGCATGAAGAGGCAACATGTACATCATGTTTCACATGTGAAGTTGAGAACTAAGAATCATAGAAAATAGTCCAGATGACGGGAACAGTCATAGAATATTTTAGTTCAGAAGAGTTACACCTTGCAAGTTTGTCATGAGTCGTTTGTTTGCATCAGTAGCTTCACACTTCTTTCGTACGAGCCAGTATAATACACAGATCTGAACTCTCGCCTAGGTTTTGTGAGGGCGACCCGCGTCCGGACGATGTGCGATACGACTCCTTTTGCAAGCGGCAGCCCCAGCCTGAAGTTTCGGATTGGACTTACAGGTTTTCGACTGACCATGTCAGTTTCGCTTGAGGCTTCTCCGTCTGTCGGATTGCAGCAATGTGTTTGATCCCTGTCCTGACCATGCAGACTTTTTGTAAAACGTAGGTCATGGCAAACGATGTAGTAGGTCCTGCAAGCCACTGTGATTTGCTTTGCATGATGGCTTGTTGCACTGCAGATCTCACTGCCCATTTCGTCTGACCAGGACTCTGTGTAGAAGTCTTTCACTCAAAACAACGAGCCCGTCTGCAGACACGACCCTCAGCCTCACGTCCCTTACTGGAAGGTGGCCCATGGGTGAAGAGGGCGCGCATAAGTACTTTCTGCAGTGGAATGACTATTTCGTGCGTCGCATCAAGAAGCAGCAGGAGCCGGATGGTTGACTCGCATGCCGGGCTGAGCCACCCCAAACACAAACCCGGCAAGAGCACAGTTAAATGCCTTTGTCCCTGCTAAGTCACTGCCGCACGGTCCAAGATAAAGCAATGAGGGAGGCAACGAAAAGCAACTTAGCCAAGCCTAAAACTTTAAACCTCGGGGTAGCGGCGTGTGGATGGGTCTTGCAGCTGCGCAGGGTCTAACTCAGGAAGTAGGAAAATAGCTAGATGAGCAGCCGAGCCGTGATGGTTAGCCAAGTAATTTTGTTGAAATCGTGAGGTTATGTGTTCCGAAAGGGCAGGCACAGAACATGGATGAATAGGTACGCAGATAGATGAGAGCATTGCAGCATAGATGGCTAGCTAGGTAGGTCGGCCGGTATGCAGGTAGATAGGTAGATGGGTAGATGGAGATATATTTGGATAGGTAGAGTCGAAAGGTCGCATCTATCCACCCCCCATTGCGTCAGACAAGCACCATCCGGAACCCTTGGGCAGGAAGCCAGGGGCCGCAAGGGAGATGTCATCACTTTCAGCCACTTTCTGCCATGGGCCTCGGCTTCGCATAGTATGTTGCAGTATAGCATGGTATGTTAATTCGGTATGCATTGGTGGAAGCAAAGCAGGAAGTTCTTGTCCCATGTCGACACTGCCAGCAAGTTCAAATCTTGCGACTGGTGCTTGCGACTTGCGAAGGCCAACCTCCGACTTGCCTTGCGGCGGTGCTCCTGTCAAGGTTCACGCAGGGCTTCGTGCCTCTATGACGAGTGTGGGTGCTGTGTTGTCGAGCGAAGTTCCTGGTTTGGGTCGCGAGGACAGCTATTATAATGTTCCGGCATGTGTCGCTATGTGATTGGCGTTGAGCAGACACCGGCAATTTTCTGAACAAGGTTTCAAGCAATCATTCGCGATGGCTGTTGATCTCTATCACTGCCTGCTGTTCATGACGTCCGGGATAAGCTTCGTGGATTGTAAGATAAGCTGCAACTCCTGTTTCGCTGCTGCATACTTCCATTCAGCCGTTCAGGGGCGTGTCGTCGCACGTTCCTCGTCTCCCCGTTCAGAGGCTTGCTCGTTCCCTTTTGTCGATGGTCAAAGCACCGTGTTGAAACCGGAATGATGGCTGAAGGCTCAGCCAGGCTGTAGTTGTTAGTTGGGTTGACTTAGACTTAGTAGCACAGGGGCCGGCGGTTGTGCCCTTCAAGCAGACTGCCTTGGGAGGCCAGCGGCTGCCTCCAGCTGGAGGAGCCCGATGCCTCAGCAATCATCAGAAATCCTCCGCTGTTGCATCAGAGCTCGTGGCCCCCTTACATTTCCTCCCTAAGCTGCGGCAGATGTCAAAATATGTCAAAGGCAGATCCAGGCCGTGGGAGCGCCGATCCACATCTTCGGTCACACGCACATGAATATTGCCTATGCCAGGGGCTCGAGGCTTGCTGAGCCTGAATCTTCCAAGTAACCCGACCAAGTGGCTAGAAAGTGACTTGCCCGGAGCCCCCCTTCGATGTTAGTAGGACACTTGTATTAAACTGCACCGGGCTTTCTGTCATCGGTGCGGCTTCCTTCTGGAAGTCAGATGGAACAATGCGAACGAATTGCACCGGCCTCTGGCTGGTGACCCGGGGGTCAGGTCACGAGAGGGTGGAGTCTGCAATAGTCTTGAGCACTTCGGCCGCCATGATTCGAGTTCAGAGTTCGGGCTGGACAGGATTCTGAGCTCCACGTCTACGAGCTCTCTGTCTCTCTCTCTGTCTCTCCATCGAACACTCGCAATCTCTTTTATCTCTGGCCCGTCGCTCGCACGCTGCAACCTGCCCTTAAGGCGACCCGCGGTGTGCGATACCAGCAGCTGAGCCTCATGGGACCGGCGCTCAGAAGCTCAGGCTTGGGCCAGGATGGAGGCAAGGTGAGTTTGACTTCAGTTCGGTCGCGCCTTTTGCACGTGTGTTGCTGGGTGCTGAATCTCGCGGCTGGCCCGCAATTGATTCAAGGCCGTGCGGGAGCTTATAACATCAGCAGCCGCATTAGAATCAGCGTCGATTGCCTTCAGAATTAGCTGAACCCGATGCGGAGCCCAATCAGCCGCTTGTGGAAACACTGGCGTCGTGCCGGTAGCTTTGAAATTTGTTGCCCCTGGCTTCAGTCAGTCGCATATGCTTACAATGGGTTTCCCGTTAGTGCGCGGAGTTTTTCACTACCGAGAAGCATGACTGCTGCAGCTCGCTTGAGTGGCCGCTGTCTTCTGTTTGTCGCAGCACGAGCGCGATGTTGCTTTCAGTCCCACCCATATACCGTGCCATGTCTTTCAAGAGCCTTCCTGTGTTGGGGAAAGATGAACGTCAAATTCCCAGAGGCCCGGAGTACGGACTGTGCGAGCGCCAGACTTTCCTCAAGCTCCACGACAAAACATTGGCAGTGACTCTCGGCGGCCTTGTGAGTCAGGAATTCTAAGTTTCGAAAGCGCAAAGCTGAAGCTGGGATCCAGTCTTGCATCTTCAGTTCAGGACGCCTAGACAGGAGCTTGATTTGCACCCTCGGAAAGATTCCTGCACGTTCGGACGGGCTGGGCTTCGCGAGAAGTGATCGACATGGCTCGATGGCTCTTGAGAGGTTGAACATTATGACGAAAAACATCTCAAAGCTCTCCCGATGTACATGCAGCTAGCAGCTTTTTGAACTCGGTTTTGGCTTGCTGAAGTGGCCGGTGAAGCCTGCAGACACTTCTCGTGGACTCCGAAGCTGCAAGGCTAGGAGCAGAAATCGGGGCGAACGGAAAGAGAACCCAGAAGCTGAAAGCCAAGCTCAAGCGAATTTGGCTCAAGGTCCAAGCCCGGTAGTCACTGACAGCGCCCTCGTTTAGGTCTTTCAATCTGTCATGGAGGGC